CCTTAAAGAGAGAGAATCAACATGCAATGCCATTCCAAAGCTTACTACATTTGCTTTTCATTATACTTTATGGTTAAGAGACCTCCTGAATTTGATAAGTTTTATTTGCTCAATTAACTATATCAGTAGCATATCGTAAGGAAGCCTATAGGATGGTAAACATATGCCATATAGTACATATAAACAGTTCCACCTCTCCTGAGAAGTTCCTCATTTTAGTGGACATCATGTGCATTCTGAAAAATCCATTAACTGTTTTGTTATTGCATCCTTTGTGCTCTTCACCTGCCTTTATATTTTAGCCAGCTGGCTTACCTCCCTTTTCCCTGCTTCAATACCACAATAAAGGTGCATTTTGGCTTATTGCACCTCTTAAATATACTATATGCCTAACACATCTCTATGCATTGAATTTTTCTGGGATATCTGAAAAAAAAATGATGCCAGTGGAAATTCTGGCAAGAAACATTCCAAAACAAACTCAGTGTACTAAGTGTTTGAAGCCTGATCTGGAGAATAGTTTTCATTTCATGCTCACTATATCTTATTTTTTAGTATTTAAACTTCATCATTAGGCCTAAAGATAATCTAATGTAATGAAACATTTTGCAACCTGTCAGGACAAACTATTTTTTCTGTGAGGTTTAAGGGAAATTATTAGCTAGATGAAGGATAATAAAAAAATGAAGTTTCTTGAGCAGTAATGTGAAACGGATAACACACAATACAATTTCAGGATGGCTTGGGAAAAAACAGGATTAAGAATTTGACTCTTTACTTGTGCTTCTAACTATTATAGACTATCAGGGATCATACATACATACCTCCCCCCACCTTAAATAACTAAAAACTGGACAAAAGTTTATAAAAAAGTATTCATCCATTGTACAACAGATAACACAGGTTTATGGTCCCTGGAAGAATAGTCAAAGGAGAAGCTTATGATTATTCCTGTTTACTTCCTGAAGGCAATATCCAGACTACAGAGTAGGGACAGAGAACTCAGATATTGTCTAAAAATTGTGCTGAGTCTCAGAAATAGAGAAGGCTAAATTTGGGGGCAGAGTACTAGAAAGGAAAGAACTGCAGAGAGAGAGAGAGAGAATGAGAAAGAGAAACACCCACACAGAGATACAGTGTGTGAGAGTACAGAAAAATAGAGTGAATGAAGATGAACACTGGAGACTTACAGAGATGTTCCTTCCAGTCTTTGGCAGAGGACGTATATGTACGAGAGAAAATAAGCAAAGGTCAAAGAAAGAACCAAAAGAAAGCAGTATGATAAATAATTACTAGAGCTCACACAAGTTTGGGGATAGTTGATATTTCCCCAGCCATAGTGAAGAAGCCATGGGGCAATTGTTAGATCTACAGGAGTGTAGGGCTGAATTAGCCCTTGACAAAAATCTGGTCTGTACCTTCTTTAACAGCATATGAAAAAGCCTCAAAAGCAAATGAATTTTGCACCATAACAAAGTCAAACACTACTTGAAATTCAAAATAAAACAATGCATAATTCCAAATGTCTATCATCCAGTAAAAGATTACCGAGTATGTGAAAAAGCATGCCTAGTAACATGACTCATATCGAGGAAAGAAAAAAATCATTAATAGAAACATTCCTGAAGAATGGCCACAATGATGAAATTAGCAGACAAAGATGTTCAAACAACATTATAAATATGCTTCCTATGTTCAAGAAGGTAGAAGAAAACATAAATGTGATGAGGAGAGACATGGAAGATATAAAAGATACCCAAATGAAACTTCCAGATATTAAAAAGTACAGTATCTGAAATAACTAGGACTACAGTAGATTAAATACTATAGAAATGAAGATTAGTGAATTTGAAAGCATAACAATAAAAGTTAAGTGAATGCAAATTAAGCACAGAGAATTTTTTTAAAAGACTTAAAAATTAAGTACCTGTGGTACAAAAGCATATGTGGAATTTGAACCCTAGAAGGAAAGGGGGAGGCAGAAATTACCTTTAGAAATTACTGCTAAAAGTTTCTCAAATTTGAAAAGAAAACATAATGAAGGCTAGTGAACGTAATACAACATGAACAGAACCTAAAAAGTAACAAAAATAAAATTATTAAAAATGAGTGATAAAGAAAAAATCTTAATAGAATTTGAAAAAACAAACAAACAAACAAAAAACCAGCCAGGATATATAGAGAGGACAAAGATCAGACATACAACAGATTTCTCCTTAAAACTATACAAATGAAAAAACAACTGAGTGGCTGGCATCTTTAGTGAAGAAGGAAAGTTATTAACTTAGAATTCTATACCCAGAAAAAAATCCTTTAAAAAATGGAGGCAAAGCAAACGCTTTTTTAGTTAAACAAAAGCTGAGCCAGTTAATCACCAGTAAATCTGCAATAAAAAAATAAATGTAAGAGATTGTTTAGGGGGAAGGAAAGGATACCACATGGAAATTTACATCTACACAAAAGAAAGACCACTAGAAATGGCAATTGTGTGGATAAATATAATGTTTTTAAATTTTATTTCTTTTTAAAAGATGATTGAAAATAGAAAATAATAATGTGGTATTTTAATATATGTAAAAGAAAATGTATGACAACAATAGCACAAGAATGTACTGAGAACCATAAAAGTAAAATATTTTGAAGTTTAAAGATATATAATATGATTTGAAGGTCTACTGTAATAACGTAATGGTTTATACGGTAGACCCTAGAGCAAAAATCAAAGAACAAGGTGAAATATGCATCACCTATAGGAAATTCACTTTATCAAGACACAGATAAAAGTGAAAGTATGGAAACACTAATCCAAAGTGAATAAAAGAAGAAACATATAGTTCCAGATGATAACACTCCTTATAGATATTTATTCTCTGCAAAGTAAGCTTCAAAATCCCAACAAAAATCCCAAAGGACTTTTGGTTCCAAAATGGTGGCATAGGGCAAGCTGGCTTCCCTCTGCAGAAAACCAAAAAGAAATATCCAGCACTGAGATGTCTACACCACAACAACCCAAGAGGGTTGTTTATGTAATACAATGAAATGATACAATAAAGAACTCTTATAAACCAACAAGAACAAAAAAGCAACAACTCAGGTAAATTAGAAGCAGCAATGAAGTGCCTATCAGATGGTGACAGTTTGGGAGAAATTGGAATCTTTTACATAGTTTATAAAAGTAAAAATTGGTACATGTCCTTCTTGGAGTTCAACTTGACTTGGGCTATTAGTATTTAAAATCCTTTTAAAAGAACCTATCTTAGAGAAAAATTCATACACTGAACCAGATATGTGGACAAGAATAAATATAGAAGAGTGTTCATTTTAAATAGTTTGCAGAAGACTAATTTGTATGAGTAAAATATTAGAAACAGACAGAAGGGTTAAAAAAATTATGGTATGTATGTCCCTTGGATTACAATATAGAGATGAAAAAAAAGTGGTCCTATAGGTACTGAAGTAGAAAAATCCATAAGACACTGTTAAATGAAAAAGGCATGTTCCAGTATAATTCAATTTATGTCTAAAATGCCCATGAATACACGAAGAGGGCTGGAAGGATATGATTCAAACTATTAACAGCAGTTACTTCTGGGGGTTTGATGGGGTATGGAGAAGAAGGTGGAAGGAAAATGTTTTCTTTTTATTCCATGTGTTTCTTCATTAAAATTTTTCATGAGAAAGCACAAACAAAAAGAACCTAAGTGACACCAAACACTAATCCCAAGAAATGAAAAATCTTACAAAAATTTCAAATAAGGAATATTAACAAATATAAAAAAAGACTTCTCATTATATGTGTTAAAAGAGTCAATTTATTAAAAGGAAAAGCAATCCTAAATGTGTCTGATGTCAATGATATAGCTTCAAAATACACAAAGCAAAAACTGATAATATTGTTCAAAGACAGTTGGAAGATGACAAAATGGTATCAAGAAGTGAGAGAAGTCTGAGATTGTACCCTGCTTGTAAGCTAACAAGTTAACTTGACACACATTCATGGATACTGACTGTAGACATTAAACTTCTCTGTGACAGAACAATGACAATTTACTATTTACTATTCACAATTTACTATTTACTATTAGTAAATTCACAATTTACTATTCACAGCAATAACAATAGCTAGAATATCAACATTTTCCTGTGCTGGTTGCCCCATCCCTAATTTATGCAGTGCTAGTGACAACGATCAGGTTTTGGCTGCACAAGCAGTGAGAAGAGTTGCAGGAGAGGAACTTTGAGCTTAGGGAACAGAAATCTTTTATAATAATTGCAAGAAAACCTGCCTTACCTTTTTTTTTTTTTTCTTAAAGGTAGACATTTCCTGTATTATTAATATAATGAATAATAAACAAACCTACTATTTGTTTTAGAGGAAACGTCATCTCTATCTTCCGTGGTCATTTGCCACTCCAAATCTTTGAAAAGATATTATAGCTGAACATAAAAGGGACATTTAGGGCCTCTGCTCACAAGAATGCAAAAATGTGAAAGATATCTGGAGAATTGAATCCTAACAAAAGGCAAGCTACGGACTAGAAGAAAATGTTTTTAAAACATTTATTTAATATAGGATCTGTATCCAAAGTTTATAAAGAACTGTTCAAACTCAGAATACATTAGTGGATTAATAAAATGTGGTATATGTATACCATGGAGTACTATTTAGCTATAAGAAACAATAGTGATATAACACTTCTTGTATTATCCTAGAGGGAGCTGGAACACATTCTACTAAGTGAAGTATCCCAAGAATGGAAAAATAAGCACCACATGTATTCACTATCAAATTGGTTTCATTGATCAACACTTAATTGCACATATAGGAATAACATTTATTGGGCATCGGGCAGATAGGAGGGGGGCGAGGGGGGATGGGTATATATACACATAATGAGTATGATGTGCACCATCTGGGGGATGGACACGCTTGAGGCTCTGACTCAGGGGGTGTGGGAGCAAGGGCAATATGCAGAACCTAAACATTTGTACCCCCATAATATGCTGAAATAAAAAATAAGAAAACTGAAAAAAAAATACAAGCAAAAAGTGGACAAATTTTTTAACATGTATTTTGCCAAAGATGATATATGGATGACAAGTAAACACATAGAAAGATACTGAACATCAATTGTTATTAGAAAAATTCAGGTTAAAACTGCAATGGTATGTGACTGCACCTCACTAGAATGACTAAAACTAAAGGTGACAATATGAAGTGTTGGTCAGCATGTGGAGCAACTGGAACTCTCATACATTGCTAGTAGGAGTTCAAAATGGTATATTTTAGGAAACAGTTTGGCAGTTTCTTATACAATTAAATATATAGTTATCAAATGACCCAGAAATCCCCTTCTAGTTGTTTATCCATGAGAAAAAAACCAAATAGCAACACAAGACATATACAGATATTTTTAGAGCTTTATTCATAATATCCCCAAATTGGAAACAAGTCAAGGGTTCTTCTGATAAATCCATAAACAAATTGTGCCACATCTATAAAATGGAATACATCTCAGCCATACATATACATAAACCATATAGATAAATCACAAAACAATATGCTAGGTGAATAAAGCCATATAGAAGATATACTTTATGATTTCATTTCTATGAAATTCTAGAAAAAAAACTAGTGTTTTGTTGAAGAAAGTACTTTAGTCATTGTCTGTGTTAGGAGTAAGACGTTAACTCTGATGGGGCATTAAAGAACATTTTGGGGTGAAGCAAATATTCTACATTTTGATAGTGGTGCTGGTCACATTGAATTATTTTTTATATTTATTGAATTTTATTATGTGTAAATCTCAGTTCAATCAAGCTGTTAAAAATAGGGAGGAGACTCTCCTCTATTTTAGCAAACATCAGAATTGACAAACCAATGATATTTTGCCTTTTAGCAAGCATGCTTTTATGTTGGCAATTGGTTATTTTTTCTCTGCTACTCTTTCTTATAAATAATAGTCAGCAAATTGCTATATTATGTGATTTTATTTATTTTTAAAATCACTGATATTAAAATGTAGCCAGGTTGGAGCTCTGTAATTGCTTAAGCTCTTAGCTTTAGAAGGTGCTTCTAGAATCATTGCTACTTTTCCTGTTAGATTTGATAGGGAAAATATGGCAAATATTTACTTTCTTTGAATTTTCAGAATTTTCTTCTCTGAGTTCAGTCCTATTAATCCTTATGATCCTGGTCATATTTTGCCTCTTGCTGTATCTCTCCAATTCTTAAGACTATAATATTTCCTGTGATAGTAATAGCTAACATTTATTGAGCACTTTCTATGTGGAAGACTTTTCTAATTATGTCATACATTTAATTCCTTTAATTCTCACAACACCTCTGTGATTACAGTTATTTTTTCCCATTTTATAGGTGACACTGAGACACAATAGCTTCCAAATTCACACAGCTATTAAGGAAACAGGGGTTTGCTTGCAGGCAGTCCCATGCTAGTGCCATTTCTGAATGCCAAACTACAAATTCTATAATACATAGACATTAAAGTCTCGTGTATAAAAGAGCCAATGTATTTAAATATGACTCTCAGAACTTTCCCTCTCCTCGTGATTCTTACTTAGTGGGTGCTGTGGTTTGAGTGTCCGCTTTAAACTCATGTTGAAAGAGTTGTGATTGTGACGAAATTAAAAAGTGAGACCATTAAGAGGTTATTAGGTTATGTAGAATCCACTCTCATGAGTGGTTTAATGTTGTTCTCGTGGTCTTGGTTTGTTATAAAAGTGAGTTCAGCCCTCCCTGTCTCTCTCATGCACATTCTCTCTTGTTCTTCCACTTTCCACTCTGGGGTGATGCAGCAGAAGACCCTTACCACCCGTAGACTCCCCAGCCTTAGAATACTCAGCCTCCAGTATTATAAGAAATGAATGATCCAGTTTCAAGTATCTGTTACAGCAGCACAAAATGGGCTCAGACAGAGGGTTTGGGATGGATCCAGCAAGCACTCCAGGTGGTGGTTCATTGAACTCAGTTTGAAAAAACCCATTTTAAACTTCACAGGATACAAAGGTCACAGTTACTATGTAAAGTAACCATGAGTTTATGGTAACCATGACCGTAAGCTACTTAAGCTATTTACTGTCAGTCCCTTTGTCTCCTAGTCCTCAGAATAGTGATGTTCTTTTAGGATGTAATGAGATGACTGTCTCCTGCCACACAGTAAATCTTCTTTAATAGGTTTATTTGTTATTGTTGCCTTTGGTGGTGGATGTCATTGCAAAAATTTTTTTGACAGTGGCTACTAATGTTCAACCCTGTACTTCACTGAGTAAAATGATAATGTCTAATATTCAAAATGTATTTCAAAGTGAAAGTACATCCTGTTGAATGTAAACTTTTTTTCAATTTCATTTTTCCAGAAATTAAACAGTGTGTTCTGTTGCAACATACATTTCTAAAATACCAATTAGATTATTTGTGATTGATAAATAGGACATTTATGTTGGAAATTTATATATGATTTATTCTAGGCAAAGGGAAGCAGAATAATCAGAATAGAATTATAACCTTGGGGAGGAAAAGAAGCCCTTATATTGAATGACATATGGTCAACAGGAGTTCTTTTGAAGTAGTTTTAAGAAAACTTTTAAAAATACAAAAAAAATTTAGTGCTTGTATCTGGGGCACTCTTGTCAAAGGGGGATACTTCTGACCATGTGTAGCTCTTAAATATTTACAGTATATATTTGGAGCTTATTCTGACCCTGTCTCCATTTCAATGGCAAGACCATTGGCTTGGCGTTTGTCTCCCAACTAGGTTTTTCCCACCAATTCTAATTAGTGTTGCCAGCCTTTCTACTCATTTTTTTTTTAATTATTCTGTGCTGAGCCAGTTCTGTAGGTGGTCCAAATTATCTTCTAAGGTGTCAATATTATTTTTCCTAGGCATCTACTCCTAAAGTTTCATGTTAGGAATGATCTTTCTAAAATCTGTTTTCCCAATAAGTTCTGTTATTTTAGGTGCCATTTTGTTAGCAAAGTGAGAATCATAGGATGCATATATCTTGTTATGACCTAAAAATCTCATTTTAGAACATGGACATCTCCAGCTCTGCAGTATCTTCTGGTCTCTGGAAATTTTAGTGTGTTGAATGGTTTGTAAATTATAAAGTAATTTACTTCCTTAGAGAGATTATTTCATTTCTTTGACACCACTAGTGTTGTATTTGTTTCTTATTATCCTACTGTGTAAAGCCCACTTGAATTACTTTTTTAAACATCTGCAAGATTTCTAACTTGCATTTCAGTTTCTTCTATGCTGCATCAGCAAGAATATATACTTTTTATTTTAGTTAATGGGTCTTTTATCTATAAATTGTTCCTTCTTACATAAAAGTACATAATAATTTATAGACCTGGAAACAGTAGGTCAAAGATTATCATTTCTTAACTAAAGAGAGACATTTTCACTAAAGAGAAATATTTCCTATAAAATAGTTATGATTCTAGTAATTGCCACAATTTATTGAATGTCTGCTAACTTTGTGAAGAAATTTGCTTACAATATTCAGTGAATATAAAAATTTTTAAAGAAAATAAAGAAAAGAAACAGTAGTAAATCTGTGCCTTACAGAATTCTCCCACAGAAATACCAGAGTTGAAACAAAATTCTTATTAGACAAATAATTGCTATTGAAATCTCTATATTCTCACAGAAATATGATTTTGACTAAATGCTGGAGGAATTTTTTCCTGTACCTGTTATCTAAGTGCAACCACTTTCAGGACAATAATGCATACTCCATTAGATGTTTCTTAAAAATTTACTCCTAGCTGTTGTTACAGTTCCTGACTTTTAACAGAAATGGAACGTGATACAGTTATAATAAACTGATATTATGAATAGAAGCACCATTGTTCATTGCCATTAGGTATATGTTTGGATACTTCTTAGGTGCTTAGGATTTTAAGTTGGATTCAACAAGTTTGAATGACAACGCTATTTTAAATTATATTTAAAGTTAAAATAGTATGGCCTCCCCTACTTTCTAGCTTCATGATTTTGGTCAAAGTATTCAACATATCTGAGTCCTAGTTATCCTTTCTGTAAAGTGAAGAAAATAAATGTGCCCATACTTTGAGTTATAACAAAGATTAAATGTGAAAATGTATAAACTGCTATTTAGTACATTCCACATAAGTATTAGCTGTGAATATTTTTATCAGCATCATCATTATTATGAAAATTAGAATAATTTAGTGTCTAGTATGCTGTGTTTACTGTATTTTCATAACCCAGGCAGGCATAGTCTGCTGAATGATTTAGCTGCTTTAGCTAGTTGCACTATTGCGTGAATTTAACCTGATTTCATGGGATGAAACAGAATGAACACTGTGGCTCATGGCTGTCAGTAGTGAAAAATAGCTGGAAATCAGACAAACAACTTTATTGCTGAGATTATTTCCGGGCTAAAAGTTCTTCCAACAGCTGTTTGTTTTGGCCATTAACATGTCCATTCTTTTTTTTTTTTTTTTTTTAAGCTGGGGAAATATGATTTTCTTTAAAAAGAGAATGCAGGCTGGTTATTTCTGAAGTCAGGAAGAACTCCTGTCCTTCCACTATTGTGGTCTTTTGGCTGCTCTTAAAGTTGGACTGAAGGGCTCTTCCTTTTGTTTTTTTCCTTTTTTTCACTCTCAAAGCTCAGACTCAGACAGCTTTAGTGAGAAGAAAAAGCAAATGTAGGAGCTCTTCAATTTTAGAGAAGGAGCTTTGTGGCAGTTACCTTCAAGAAAAGTTTACTCCCCAAAGGAGTATTTAGTATTACATAGACACTGACTCATTGAACAGAAAGGGGGTGGGGTGGAGAGAAGGAGAAAGAGAAAGAAAGAGAAAGAGGGAGAGAGGATGAGAATATGAGAATCCCAGCCAGCAAGAAAGAAAGATACATAACTAAAGATGAAGGGAAGTTTTGCCTCTTCCTGAAAGTTATGTTATTAGTTTTTAAAAAAATCAGGATGACTGCTAGTTTTGTTTAAAGTATTTGTTCTGGAAATAGTAAAGTTGGAGTCTACCAGACTGAGGTTAGAAGCATTTTCTTTGGCAGCAAGAAGATACTTTTATAGAAGCCATGCCTGTACTTGGGGTTGCCTCAAAACTGAGGCAGCCAGCTGTTGGGTCAAAGCCTGTTCATACTGCTCTTCCGATACCAAATCTTGGCACTACTGGGTCACATCACTATTCTTCAAGACCTTTGGAACTTGCTGAAACAGAGAGCTCAATGCTTTCTTGTCAGCTCACATTAAAATCAACCTGTGAATTTGGAGAGAAGAAACTCCTCCAAGGAAAAGCCAAGGAGAAAGAAGACAGCAAGGTTAGTGGCTGAAGGTTACCTGCAGATTTATATAGCTAAAATGCAAATTTCCTTTTAGGTAGACTATAAAATATGTTATGAAATGGGAACTCCTATATAAACTGTATTTTTAGTTTATAGTTACAAAAGTCATGAACAAATTCTCCTGAATATGCATATATTGTAATCACTGAATGCTACTTACTGATGAATGCCTAGTTAGTCCTAGATATTACTTTATCACTGAGAACGATAAATCAATCACAAATGTGAGAAAAAGAAGACTAGGTTTATACATATTGCAATGTAAAAGGAGATTTATTTGTAATAATCGTCAAGTCACCATCACTTTCTCTAAATGCCATTTGCATCATTTTAAACAATTTCTGTTTGAATATTTATATCCTAGATGCTTCATTCATTGCAATATGAGGAAAATGAAATATTATTTTCCTTAATGCTGCACATTTGTCTGGATTTTCACTTGTAAATTGAAACCCTACTGTTTTACTTATTACTGACATCGTTTTCAGTCATTTAATTTATGACATTTTGCGAGTAGTAGCTCATAGCTCTTGGTTTCTAAGGCATACTACCATCGTTTTCTCCTGAAACTGAATGCTAGCATGATCCTGCAGCTGATGAACTTCATGGGCATTCATTTGTACCTTGATAAGCATCACTTTTTAATGCAATATTAACTATGATGTCATGCTTTCCAGAGTCATCATTCTTACCCCTGGCTTCTTAAGAAATGTTTTGGTTTGACTTTCCCCAAATATAAGTTAGAAATAATTTAAGGGAAAAGATAAACTTTATAAAGAAATTGACTCTACAAGTGAAAAAGGAAGCTATTCCTTTCATCTGCTGTGCCCATTCCATCTCACTTTACCTGTTCAGATCCTTTAAGCTTCAGCCCAAATGCAATTTTATTCATAGTCATTACTTGCTACTTCTTCCCCTCTTTTCTTCTCTTCTGGTTCTTTGTCTGTAGAAACATTTGTAGCATCTTTATTTATTACTTTGTATAATTACCTGGATCATTTCTTTCTATCTCCACCTAAATTGAAAATATTTAGAAGGCAAGGTCTATATCTTATCCTGTGCTCTAGCTATTCCTCCCCCACCCCAATGCTTTATGCCTAATAAGAATTAAATAATAATTGAATGCATGAACATAGGAATGAATGAATCAATGAATGAATACAAAACTATCCTGAGAAAGATTTAGATAAGTCTGTGAATCTCTTTGGATCATTTCTTCTTTAAAACAAGGGATTTGGAATGGATGATTTTTGGAATACTATTTCTAACAAAGTTTTGTCTAAGTGAGAAAAATCAATTAAAAGAAAATATTTTATTAGAGGTGTATAGTTCTTAGTCCAATGTGAGCAATTCAGAGTAAAAAGTAGGGAAGTGTAAATCATCAACAAAAGACTTAAACTGTTTAACTTTCTGCACATAATTAAAAGCAAGTTCCATACAATTCCATTCTAATGTTCTGTGTACCCACAATGACTTATATGGATTCAATGGAAAGAATAGACGGACTCGTTCCTCTTTGCTGTCCATGGCCATCTTCTCCGCAGGTTTAGTCAAACTTCCACTTTGCTAAATGGTCTTGGCTTAAGACTTGACCACTGTAAGTACTGTTTTCACTAGAATTTTGGTTGATCTCTTTGGTTAGCAAACATATTAATCAAACATCCGATATTCCAATAAGCCTCTGTGGTAACAAAAGTTGTATTTATAGGGATGTATTTACCATGCCACTTATCAGATTAAAAACTCTTTCAAGCAAATGTAAAGAACGCCTGGTCAGCATTTCAGAATATTTCTAAATGTTAAAAAGAAGTATATTTAGAGGTCTTTAAAAAACATTTGAAAAAAAAACAAACCGAAGCGAATAGAAAAAATGATCAAGGCACTTATATTTGAGAGAACTAGACTTGGCTGCAAAATAGTAGAAAACTCAGTATAACAATAGTATAACCAATGTAGGAGTTTATTTCAATTTGATATAAAGGAAATCTACAATTAAGCCATCCATGGCTGGTAGGGTGACTTCATGAAGTTGACAGAGAACCATACTCTCTGTATTTTGGCCACCATTATCCATTTGTGGCTTATATTTCACAGTCTTAAGGAAATAATTGAGCTCCACTCAATTAAAAAGACATACCTGTTTAATTAAAGATTCTTCTACATCTCATTGGCCTACTTATAGTTCCAAAGCCTTACCTAGCTGCAACGGAGACTGGAAAATGTAGTGTTTATTCTAGGCAGCCATGTGCCCAACTAAAAATTATGGGTTCAATTTCTAAGGAATAAGAGACCATGGATAGTACCCAAAATAGATGACTGCCATCAAGAAGCATTTATGTGCAGCACTCTGCTAGTTCTTGCACAAAATGATCTTGCAGTCTGGTTTGAGAAAACAAACCTACATAAGATGATGTCAGAAATGTATCTTTAATCCATTACTCCCTTGTTCTATTCTTGTGTTCAGCAGTGCAAATGCCATCATTCCACTCATCTAATCTTGAATTCCTAGACTAATATCAGGTAAAGTACATCACCATCTCATATCCCATGCCTTGCCATAAATTTTAGGTTCTAATTCCCTATTATAGTTTGGATTTATTCCCCTTTGCATATTCCCATCCTGTGGCTCTTGTTATCTATCAATTATTTTAATAGCTCCAAATTGGTGTCCTCTCTGTGTCTCTCTACCGTCATCCATCCAACACATTCACCCTTGCTTAATAATAACTTTATTATAATACCTTCTTATAATATCTTCATTCAGGCATTCCAGTCTCCTAATTGTTGTCACCTCCTCTTCTGGCATAGCTTGATCTAGCTACTGTATCCCAGATGTCGTCTTCCTGGGTGTCCCAATTTCTTCAGATTGCTTAGTTCCACTAGAAAATCCAGCACAATATTTCAAGGGCTTATGTTTTCCTTAGCTATATCTTGTTCTGATTTCTTACTTATCTTGAATTTTCTAATCTCTCTGCTCATATGGATTTGTTTTTCCATTCTTCCTGGGCATTCACCCAAATGAGAAACAGAGTCACTTTGCCTTGGAACCTTTACTTATGAATCTGGAGGTTAAGATTAAGAAAGAGTGTTCTATTTCATCACAGCCTAGAAAACAATATACAGTTAAGCATTAGACATCCCTGTTCATGAAAGTTTCTTGGCTATAGCTATTACTGAGAAATCCTCCCTGGCCTTTACTTCTTAATCCTCAGACTCCTTACAATTTGGTTAGCCCCCTCTCTTTCACCCCTATTCTCATTTCCAATTTCTTTCCAGTCTTGGGCCCACTCATTCTTTTCCTTTCAGATTCCTTATGCAAACTCAAGATTTTGTTTTACATTATTATAGAAAATTATTTTTGAGTACCTTCCTATACTTTATAGGGATTTTTTGTTATTCTCATAACATTTTCAAAGAAAGCATTATCATCTACATTTACAGAGAAATAAACTGAGGATTAGAGAGAGTGGGAGACACTTATAGAATCAGACAGTAACTAGCACCAAAATCCAGAATTGGAATCCAAATTTGTCCTTACAAAGGCTTTTTCTCTCTATTCCTTTATTTATACTTTCTTTTCATGATATAACTGCAATATGTTTATAGGTTTACCCTATCTTCCAAATTTTAGTACTCTTTAAGACTCATTTCAAAAACCAAAGACAAATATAAATAAATCGTTATATAGGCTAAAAGGAAGGAGAGTTTAGATACAGTTGGGGAAATCTAAAGAAATCTCTTGAAAGAGTAGTGGCATTTATGTCCATGGTAGCATGGGTGTTTGTTTAATATCCCTACTCATTTTATAAATTGGAAGGGCAATCAGGGTAATGATTATTCTTTAGTATCATGTTCAAGTAAGACTAGCACTAATGCTCTGAAAACAGAAGATGCTCAAATGCATTACTTAAATTGAATATTAAGAAAAATGTAAATAGCAATATAGACAAGCAAATGCATTATATGAGTAGTATTGCTAATAAGCTCAATTCTTCTTTAGAATTTTAGGGCTGACAGAAATCTTCTTGAATGGAGCGTTTCATAATAGGCTGAGTTGTTGGAATTTAATGGGCCGATAGGGGCAGGAAAAGCATTCTTTTGAGGAAAGGGTTACAAACAAGACTACCCACTAAGTAAACTGTTAATAATTGGAGCAGACTATTTGTGGAAAGTAGAAAGTTGGGTCAGATCATCAATGTAGGCAGACTTTGTTAGGTAAAAGTGTGGAAGCCTCTTACATAAGAATGAGACAAAATGATATTGGCGATGATATTTAGGAGAAACCACTGCAGAGAGATTTTAATCTAAACTAACGTTTTTTTTTTTTTTTTTTTTTTTTAGACAGAGTCTCGCTTTGTTGCCCAGGCTAGAGTGAGTGCCGTGGCGTCAGCCTAGCTCACAGCAACCTCAAACTCCTGGGCTCAAGCAATCCTTCTGCCTCAGCCTCCCGAGTAGCTGGGACTACAGGCATGCACCACCATGCCCGGCTAATATTTTTTTTATATATATATATTAGTTGGCCAATTAATTTCTTTCTATTTATAGTAGAGACGGGTCTCGCTCTTGCTCAGGCTGGTTTCGAACTCCTGACCTCGAGCAATCCGCCCGCCTCGGCCTCCCAGAGAGCTAGGATTACAGGCGTGAGCCACCGCGCCCGGCGTAAACTAACGTTTATAGAGATGTGCTATATGCCAGGTTCTGGGCCAAGCACTTCGTGAAGTATCCTGGTCAGTCCTCACAATAGCCTTATAATATAGTCATTATTATTATCCCCACGTTACAGATGAAGAAACTGAGGCTTGATAGGTTAAATTACTTGCCAATATCTCAGTGCTAGAGTGGGTAGAATAGGGATTCAAACAAAGGCTGTGATAATACAGAAGACATATTCTTAAGCAATAAACTAAACTGTAACAATAAACATCTGTTGAAGTTGGGTGGGGCAGGAGAGCTATTGATTGACTTGATATCTATAT